AACAAATCCTGTGCAGAATTCCCTGGTTCTCCCTCCATAAATATCCCCAACCCTCTCTGACCTCCTGGGGGCTGCCCCACAGGCCTGCCTGGTCCTGTCTCCCTGGCCAAGGAGTACCTACCCTTCCCCATACCACCATCCCTCACCTGGGCTTCACTCTGCCGGGAGCTAATGTGGCGGGTGACTCCTGGGAGTGGCATCTCTTCTGGCTGCCTATTATCCGACCTTTATTTTAGGAATTTCTCGAAAATCTTAATGAGGGCCAGAAACTGCCTCACTTTAAAGATGCTAAAAATGCCAGTCTCTTGTGTTCCACTATACATGAGGCAGGTGGATTCTGCCCTGTCATATTTTAATCTCCACAAATGCCTTCTTGTTGTTGTTGTTAAATGCTGTCAAGTCGTAGATGACTCATAGCAACCCTTTGAATGAAAGACCTGAGCACTGTTCATAGCGTTTCCGGAGACAAGCCATTTCGGAAGGGGGCGCCACTCTTGCTTCCAAGCTTTTTTTAATTGGGGAGCTCCACCAACACTGTCCACCATGGGTAACCATTACCACATTTGGCACATCAGTGTCACAGTGTTTAGCATCACAGCAACCACAAGTTGCCTCTGTACAGCAATGCACAGACCAGTACTATACGACTTAGAAGAATGTTTGATAAAAACAATTTAAACCAGGCCTGAGGGTTGCAGATTAAAATCACCCACCTTGGGTTTGGTAGCATAACTCTCTGTCCACTAGGCCAAAGCAGCTCTCTCTATGTTGTTGTTGTTGTTGTTATTGTTGTTAAGTGCCGTTGAGTTGTAGATGACTCATAGCGACCCTATGAACAAAAGACCTGACACAAATGGCTTACATACATGAAAAAATCCAGAAGCCTAAGAAACACACTCTTTAGGGTCTTTCCCAAAAGGATGAAATTACCCATTCTACTTCGTCCATTTATACAGTACATATGTGGAAATTTTGAGTTAGTGTTTTACTCTTGCTTTTATTTTCAATTTGAAAGCAGTTACTGTTCTATTTAACTGACCAGATTACAAAAAAAACCCAATCATGTTTGACATTTTCGTTCTTTCTTCTAACAAGTCTGTTTATCCGGTCTTCCCAGATGCCAGCATCTCCACCTTTTACAAAATGGGTGGTCTTTTTCTTCCTTCCACCTCCTGGAGAAGAGAATTTGAAGGGCCACAAGAAGTTGTTTGCTTCTTTGAAGTGTTTGCCAACAGTATAGATCTCGTGAATCAGTTCCTCTATACAGATGATGCCACATTTGCCAAGAGATCATGCAATCAAAGTGCTGTCTGTCAGAGCAGTTTGTTTCTTGCTGATTTTGCCATAACCACACTTATAGATCAGTTCATTGACAAACTTAGGTTTGGGTACCCTGGTGCAATAGATGGTCCCACAATCCTCAGCCTGTTAATTGAAGCTTTGTAGAGTTTAGCAAAGGTGTCATTAAAGATCTGGCAAAGGTAAAGGAGTTTAACACCTTACGAACCTTTGGGCTCACACCATGGATACTTCTGATCCCGATGGCAAATACCAGTTTGGATTCTGCAGATACATAGAAGTTGCCAGTTTTCCTTGCCATTCGAGCCATTCAAATCTCAGTTCTGTGCATCTGTCTATATTCTTTGTAATAGTGCTTAGCCTTTTCATAGATAAGCTTCCATCTTGCCTTTGGAAGCATCTTTTGGGCTAACTTCTTTCTCAGGAGCTTGACCCTTAATTCTGCGGAATTTCTTTGCTATTTCTTAGTGGTTTCTGGCACTACAGGATCCTTCTTTTTCTTCTCCACATCGGTCTCCATAATTCCAGGCAGTTAGGAAATTGTTAGTTAGGCACCATTGAGTTGAGCACAATTCATAGCGACCATATGAACAAAGAATCTGAACCCTGTTCTATCCTGCGCCATCCTCACATTCCTGACACACAAGAGCCTACCCATTGCAGCAGTCACCATAATAATCCATCTAGTTGAGGGTCTTCCTCACCTTCCCCAGCCCTCCACCCTTCACAGCCTCAAGCCCTTCTCTAAGGAATAGCCCCTCCTAGTAATATGTTCAAAGTATGTGAAGGGAAGCCTCATAATTCTTGCCTCCAAAGAGCACTCCGGCTGCACCATCTCAAAGACATAACTGTTCGTTCTCTTGGCCGTCCATGGGATACTCAGTGTTCATCTCCAACACCACAGCTCAAGGGCGTCAATTCTTTTTCTGTCATTCCTATTCACTGTCTAGGTCTCAGATGCATAGGTAGTAATCAGAAAGATTATGGCCTGAATCAAACACACCTTAGTCCTCAAATTGACATCACTGTTGTTGTTATTGTTTTTAAGTGTGTTGAATGGAGTACAACTCATAGCGACACTATGAACTAAAGATCTGAACCTAGTCCTGTCCTGCACCATCCTCAACACTTTTTGACACACAAGAAGGGCCCATTGCAGTAGTCACCTTGTCAATTCAACTGGTCTTCCTCTCCTTCTCTGACCCGCCACCCTTTTCCAACGTCATTTCTCTCTCCAAAGCATAGCACCTCGTAGCAATATGTCCAAAGTATGTGAAGGGAAGCCTCATCACTCTTGACTACAAAGAGCACTCTGGCTGCACCTCTCCAAGACATATCTATTCATTCTCTTGGCCGCCCATGTGATGTTCAGTATTCTCCAACAACATGGCTCACAGGCATTAATTCTTTTTCTGTCAACTTTATTCATTGTCCAGCTCTCAGTTGCGTAGTTAGCAATTGGAAAGACCATGGCCTGAATCAGATGCACGTTAGTCCTCAAACTGACATCACTACTCCCCAATAATTTGGAAAGATCCCTAACTGCAGATTTTCCCAGTACAATGTGTCTCCTATTTCCTGATTGCTCATTCAAAGGGT